TCTTTTATTGTCATTTTTTTAAAAAATAAAAATTTTGAATAAAAGATTTACAAAAAAATAAACTAGAATAGAATAAAAATATTACATTGACATATAATGTTTTAAAATAAATTAAATTTTATAAATGAATATTATAAATAGACTTACTAAGATTATTCAAATTTGCATTTTTATCTATGTCTTCAATTTTCTTCCACAGTCTTGAAGCATAAAGTCATAAACACATTATGCGTTAACAGCTATTCAGGTTTCAGCATCATTCGTCCAAAATCAGATTCTACAATTGGAGTGTCTTTATTTCAGATTGTTTTCACATAATATTTAAAATAATATACTTCTTTAAGTTTAATATTTATTAGATATTGGAATTTTTATAATATTATTCATTTATTTTAATTAAATTAGCATTTTGTTACTTATATAATGAATTTTTTTAAATAATTAATTATTTTAATATATTTTATCTCATCATTCCATATTTTATATTATACATATTAACATAAATAAATAAACATATTAATATAAACAACAGATAGAAGGAAAAAAGGGAGAAATGTAATCAGAGATATATTGAGAACATAGAAAAGTACTTTATTTGTGATTTATCACAGCCAAAAAACATAACTAAAACAATTCTGATAAGGAACTACAGTTATAGACATTATTGCGTAATGCCATTTTAATATTGTAGTTCTTATGGACCCATTTAATAGTTTAATGAGTTTGTCATATATTACTCAAGGAACTTTAGGTTGTACAATACCATTATTTTGAGGATTTGTATGTTGCGTTTGTTCTGCAGCAGTTTGTAACAATCTTGTTCTACGTCTGGTATAATGTTGCCATAATAAAATTTGTTGATCATCTATAAACTTTGTACATTGAGAATTTACTACTTCTCTTCTAAAATGTTCATATTGTAATAAATCTAAAAAGTATAAACACATAGGATATTTCAAATATTTTGCATATTCTGGTTCTTTCCAATATAACAAATATTTAAGGTAATTTATAAATGTTGAATCTTTAAAGTAACCACGTTGTGCTAAAACTAAAATAATAATTATAAGTATTTTCTTAATAAATTTAATATATTACAAAATATTTTAATTATTATCTAACATACAATTTAAATAGTTTGGATTTGCAAGACATTGAACAAATTCTAATTCAACTTGAAATCTTAAGCGTTGTTGATCATCTGTTTCTGGACCCCCTAAAAACAAATGCATTAAACAAAAAATATAGTAAAAATTATCATATAATTTTCAATATAATTTTTAGATTGAATTATTTTTTACATAAGAAAAACAATAAAATATGTAAGAGAAATAGAAAACTCTAAAAATATAATCTAACCTAAAACTTGTTAAGGAACAACAAGCACGTATAATTTATTTATGATTATATTGTAAAATATTTAATTTTATGATACATATATAATTTTAAATAAAATTAAAATAATAGATATGATAATAATAAAATTCATATATTTGTATATAAAAAATTGATATAAAAAAACAATTTAAAAGATACAAGTAATACAATAAATCCAGTAGAGAAAAACTTACGAAGTATATAAATATATTTATAAAAATATAAATTAAGAAAGAAAAAATAATACTCTTTTAATTCAATAAATTAACAAAATTAAGTTTTGTATAAAATGTTGCATGTAATAATATACACATTAATATGAATAAAAAAGAAATAATATACAATTGATTTGTTTACAAAAACAATCTTAAAAGTTTTAAGAATTATGAAAATATAATTTATATATTATATATATAAAAAATACCGTTCATTCCAATGAAAGATGGTTTTCTGCCTTTCATGAGACTCGGAGGATCATCCAAACGGTTCATAGTACATTAATTCGTAATAGTCGATTATTTTCGACCACAATGATTATAAAACACTATCTTTTTTATTAAAAAATAGACAAAATATATTTGAATCCAATTACAAAATTTATACAATCCTTACCAGAAATTTCTTCACAATTCCTTACTCTGAAAGTTTTCGTATACATATCGAAGCTTATGTCACAAAATCACAGGTAAGTAAATTGTAATCAAATACATTGTAGCGACAACAGCGCCATTGTTTTCTATGGCCATTTAAAGAACGAAAAAATGCATTTTGTTATAAGAAATCAAAGATCTTTTAGACTAAAAAAGAAATGTTAAATTAATATTTTTATTGCATATTTAGAATATATATAGATATTTAATATAATAATATAAAAATATAAGATGAACTCATTATATTATTTATAAGAAAAATTAATAAATTAAAAAAATAATAAAATTTTTATATAAATTATTATTATTAAATTATTGTATATATATTATCATAATATTAATTTGCAATATATGGTATAATGCATTACTTAAATTAAAAAAAATTGGATATTTCATTAATATCGTATATTATTTTACATGCTGTTAAATGTGTCTAATGAAATGTTTTTCAAATCATAATAAGTAACTATAATATATAAACACATATGCAAAATTTATTATTTTTAATATATTATATTATTTTATATTAAAGTCAATGCACAGTTTTTCGTGCAAGGAAAATTATTTTTTTTGCTTTAAAAATAAATATAAATTTAGTTAAAAATTTTATTTTGTATGATGTAAAATCCTATTCGAAAAATTAATATAATTATTGTTTTTATAATTAATTTTTAATTATATTATTATATATTATAATCTTCTACTTAAATATGGATTATTAAGAATTTTATAGTCATCAGGATGTCCGCTTCCAAAGCGGAACATCAAGGAATTAGATCAGAAAATGATTAAATTAGAAAGCGTCGCGATTCTTTTGCGTCGCCGACCTCTTTCATTCCGATGAATGCTTTCATAATTCTTTTGTTCATGTTCCCTTATGAAAACTAATTAACAATCTGGTAATATCGACGAATCTTAATGACAGGAAATATATTATATTTAAAATCCTCAGAAACTGCATACTTAGTTAAAATAAGTATCCATTATAATTTTTAAAAGAACAATTAACAATTTTTTAATACAATTGCTGTCATTTATTATTATTATTTCAGTTTTTATAAAAATTCAACTATTGTATTTTTTAATAAAAAAGTTCTTCTAATAAAACAGGATGTTATTTTTAATGTCTTTTGATTTTCTTTCAAAATCTTCTTTGTGTATATAAACAAAATGATTGAGAACGTCTAATATATGGTTTGATGGTTACAATAATTATCTACTTCTTCCGTGCTTATACAAATCCGGAGAAAAAATATAGGGAGAAAATATGCTACTCTTTAATCGGAAATGAACACGTTTTCTACACCTGACCTAGTGCTGTTGCTTCATAACACGTTACGAATTCGAGTCCAATTAATTTGTGCTATGAATTAAAAATCAAGACGTTCACAGTTTCTTTCACTCTTCGTTGAGACATTAAACCAATTCTCTTGGCGATCAGTGTTACTCTTTTGCCTTATCTTGAATTGATATTCACAAGGACAACGCTATTTCTGCTAATTTCATCAATCGGTAATATTCTAAATGTGTATCGGTGGAATTAATACGATAGTGCTACAGTTATCGTGATTCAGTGAGCAAAGCTTAATAAATTTTTTACGATTCAAGGATTTTCTAATAATAATCGCCGCAACGCGAGAAAAACTCTTATTTCTTTCTCATTCAGCAGAATTTGTTTTTTTAATTCATTTGTTTACAGTGTGAAACATGACTACGAAGAAGATAATTCCTGTGCCTTATCCTTTTTCAATGGAAGAAGAATTGAAAAAGAATCCGGAATTAAAGATGTCAGATATCGAGATGTTGAGGGAATGGTGTGAAAAACAACAACATTTGCCTAAACCGTCAGATCTACATTTAATTATGTTCTTACATAGTAATTATTATAGTATAGAAGCGGCTAAAAATACTATAGAGAATTTCTTCACCATTAGATCCCATGTTCCTGAATTTTTCGCAAACAGAGATCCATTAGGATCGAAAGAATTGCGTCAGATATTCAATGTCGTGTGAGTTTTACTTCTTCTTTATATATTCTTTTGTTCATTATTATCGATTATCATTCATATGGTTTTTTTCATTGCGGAAAAATAAATTTAATTTTTTATTGCAATACAGATTCGCGACTGAATTGCCTGGACTCTCGAAACAAGGGCACAAGATACTTTTCGCGAAATTAATAGATACCGATCCATCACATTATTCTTTCGAAGATAGTTGCAAATATTTCTTTATGGGAAGTGATTTAATTGGTTTGAGAAATGGTATTTGCGACGGGTATATTTTTATTGGAGATTCAACTAATGTGTCTTTGGGCCACGTTGGGCGAATAAGTCCTATGGGCATGAAAAAGTTGGTAATGTACATCCAAGAAGGAATACCTGTTCGACTCAAAGGAATACATTTTATCAATACTCCATCGGTAATGGATGTGATAATAAATATGGCGAAGCCATTCATGAAAAAGGAATTTTGGAATATGGTAAGAGATTTTGTAACGAAATTTTACATATATAGAAAACAAATTGAAACTTTTTTTTACACACTTTTACTATTGTTTTTAAATAAAATATTTCAATTTAAATACTAAAATAATTAGATCTTATACATTATTATGAAAATATATATAATTACATAATTATTTATTTTCATGATTATAATATATTTATATCTATTTTATCTATTTTATCTATAAAATAGATTCTTAAATATCATAAATTAGTAGTTTTAATTAAATTAATAGTTTTAATGTTAATTTTCAATTTATAAAAATATTAATAATTAAAATATGTTTAATAATTACTTATGTAAGTCTTTATATCTCATGGAAAATCAATTATATTATTGAACAATACGCACAATTCCGTTTTATATGAAATTATGAATAAAGTAATTACATTAATTCCATATGTGGAATAATTTAATTAGCAGAATATCAATTGAAATGATGAAAAAATAATCATAAATTTTTTATTATTTAAATAAAAATTAATCATAAAAATTAAAAATACATATTGTGCATATAATATACATAAATTTACATAAACTTTCATTAAAATCTGATTTTCGGGTTAAATGAATTTTTTTGTAAAATAATGTATGGAGACTTTTGTATACTTATCAATTTTAGCATAAATCATAAATCATATATCGATTTCTATTTCATTCTCTTTTATTTTTTATTTAATGTATATTTGTAATTTGCATTTGTAATGAATATACCGATTCCATCATTGCAATTTATATTTGCAATGATGAGATTAACATATAATCAAGAGATATTTCTCTAAAGAATAATTTTATTTGTCTACACACGTATCTTACGTAAGAAATAATTTACTTATTTACATTAAACTCTAAGTAAAATGATAATTTCCCAATCTATAGATATAATATATTTTTTCTGTCAAATTTATAATTAAATATTATATTGTATATTGTACATATGAAATATTTTGATTATTGTTAATTTTACTATTTATCTTAATTAGTTGTTCAATAATTTTAGGTAAAATAGGTAATACTTTATTAATTTCTTTTTTAGATACATTTACATTCATCGTTAAAAACATTGGAAGAATTTGTTTCTCTCGATCTTCTTCCTAATGAAATCGGAGGAAAAGCAGGATCGATAATTCAAATGCACGAAAATGAGATAAAAGAGATCGATGATAAACGAGAATGGTTTATCGAAGAGGTGAAATTATCTACTGTAGATGAATCATTGCGTATTGGAAAAAATAAGATTGCAAATGATTTTTTCGGTGTCGAGGGAACTTTCAAGAAGCTCGAAATAGATTAAGAAAGGAAAAAGAAAAGGAAAATTGTGTGTATTTTTTATTTTTAAAAGATTTATTTTTTTTCTTATTTTCATACGGATAATAAAGATTTATTACAATATTTTTTTAATTGTATAGCAAATGATAACATTGCATAATATGTACGATGATTTAAAATAAAATTATTATATACATTTTATAATAATCTTATTAATAAAAATTTATTAATAAAAATTGATATTTAATATTTTTAATCAAACAGAATAATTGTAATTATATTATTAAGTATTAATTACTTCATATTAGGACTAATATCATATTAATTATCATAGAATATAATTTCATAAAATTTTTTAATTAACGATGAAATTATTAGATAATTTGTTAATTTTTGAAAAATTTCCTCATTTTTAAATGGATAAATCGTTGGGAAACAGATAATGTAATAAATTATTTGTTGTGTAAAATTTTATTAAAAAATATATTCTAAATAATGTATCCAGGAAATTTACTTTACATTGTAGTATAAGAATACAAAGTCCAAGGTATTTCAAAACTTATAATTTTATATAATTTCAAGTTTTTATTTACAATGACTTGAACTAAATTTTTCTTCTTTATCATGTAATTTGAATCTTGTGTAAATTTTTCAATGATATTTAAATTTTAGTAATGAAAAATAATATTTATTATTTTTACTGAAAACTACATTTCCAATATTAAAATTATGTGTTCGAAGAGGTGAAATTATTTACTGTAATTTCATTCATCATTGTGTATTAGAAAAAATAAGATTGCGAATGATATGTATATTTCATGTATAATAATTTAATTATTAAAAAAATTAATACTATATTCTATTTTTACCTAAATTTTTAAATGGAAAGAGTTTCTTAAAATATTGAAATTAAAAAGATAGTGAAATTAGAAAAAAAATCCATTATTTTTATATATAATTCAAAATCTATAAATTTCTTTAAAAGTGGATTTGAAAAATAGATCATTAGATGGGAAATTGTTCTAAAAAAAAAAGGAATTGTATTTTGGATCAATACTTAAAAATTTATATGTAATAATAATAAATTTGTTTATGAAACCAAAAACTAATTGTTATAAAAACTCGATTATTTAAATTTGTTTAAAAGATTATTTGAAAGATAATTGCAATTTATATGTTTGCTAATTAAAATAAAGAAGAAACATATATATTGCATTTATTATAAATTAATATCAAGATTTGTTATTAAATATTTTGTATTAATAACTTTTTTTTATATAAATACATTTGTTTTCATAGATTTTTTTAATACTATAAATAATATATATATATAATTTATATATTTATATATATATATTTTATACTTTATAATTAAATATACTTAAATACTTTATAATTACTTTATAATAAAATTTTCATATGATTCAAAGATAAATATATTATAAATTAACATTTATAAATCTGACAACCTTGCAACTATCATGCTATTTGCGATTATATGCTAACTCATTTCATTGCTCGATTGTACTTGAATGATAGTCAGTATTATTCAAACCATCAACGTGATCTCTACAAAACAAAGATTTTCCTTCTATCATATAGTAAGTGCTTTACTTCTGTTATACACATATATTATTTAAATTATTTGATAAATCCAAGCGTGATTTCTGTAAAAATTTAATAATATAAATTCATTTCTAAAAATGAAATAAATATATATCAATAAATAAATTATTTTCATTAAATTTAATTGAAATAATGATTTAAAACGCAAATATCTTGAATGTTTTATTATTAGTTTATTATTAAAAAAATTATATTCCTATTATTCAATTATATCTGAAATTGTGATTTGTATTATAAAATTTAACTATTATTATAAAATTTTTTATAATAATTAATTTTTTTTTGTTTTTAAAATTTTTTTTCATTATTAAAATAATGATAAAATAATGTCGTTAAATGTTTTTATGTATTTAAAAAATTATATATATGTTTTTAAGAAACTCGTATGCAAACATGGGCACATTTCAAGGAATATCATACGAAGAAGAATTGAAAAAAAATCCAGAATTGAAAAATGAAGACATACAAATATTAAAAGAATGGTATAAGAAACAACCTCATTTACCACAAATAACAGATTCAGAGTTGGCGTTATTTTTACACAGTAATTATTATAAAATAGAAGCTACGAAGACAACTATTGATACATATTTCACTATAAAAACCCATGTTCCTGAATTTTTCTCTAATAGAGATCCTTTGGGATCAAAGGAATTAAGGAAATCTTTTCAAACTGTGTAAGTTCTTCTATTTGTAAATTATTTAATTATTTACTTAACTTTTGTCTTCAATATTTCTGAAATATTTAAAAAAATAATTAAATATATTTAAATATAAAAATTAATATTAAATGTGATAATTCCTATAGAATATTATATCTTTTTAAAAAGAATTAAAAGATATTGAAAAATTCAATTTTCAAGAACAGTTTTATAAGAAATTAATCTTAATAGAATTATACATACAATTACACATATTGTAAAATATTAATTTTCATAATTATCTTTAATTTCCATTATATATTTCAATATTCAATTCAATTATCGTTTGTATGTAGATAAAATGTTACTTATCTTTTAGAAATAAACGTTATCTTATTAAATTATTACCTCTTTTTTTAAATTGAAAATATTATTTTTTTGAAATATATCTTTATTTTTAATTTTTATAACATATTAATATTTATATTTTACAAAATTCGTTTTAGGACTATTCAAGTCTTAGAAAATAAAACGCCAGAAGGATATGCAATTCTTTATGGAAGATTAATCGATTCTGATCCTTCAAATTATGTTTATAATGATACAATGAAATATCTGAGCATGACTCTTGATTTGTGGCTTCATAAGGAAGGCACAACAAATGGACATATAATTTTATTCGATATGAAGAATGTTGTTTTCGGACATGCTGCTCGACTAAATCCTGTAGGATTAAAAAAGTATCTTATCTATTTACAGGAAGCATTACCAGTTCGTTTGAAAGGATTTCATTTTATGAACATTACATCAGTAATGGATGTAATATTAAATATGATGAAACCATTCATGAAAAAAGAATTATTAGATATGGTAATATATACTACTTTAATATTCTAATTAATTTTAAGTGTTTTAACAATTTAAATAATTTAAAAATTTCTTCTAGCTTCATACACATACAACTTTAGAAACATTGTCGAAATTTATACCTATAGATATATTACCAAATGAGATTGGTGGAAAAGCTGGTCCTCTAATGGAATTTCACAAAAAAACAATCAAAATGCTCGAGGAGAATCGTGACTGGTTCTTACAAGAAGAAACGAAAGTCGTTAACGAATCCCTGAGAATGGGTAAAGGAAAAACAGCAACTGATCTTTTTGGTGTTGAAGGAACTTTCAAGAAACTCGATATTGATTAAATTTTCAATTGCATAAATCTTAATGATTAAATTGATATTTATTTTTATTTTAAACAAATTTTTTAAATTTGATTGTATTATATTCCAGAAAATTTTTAAATAATAAATAAATAAATCATTTATGCATAAATATTTTTTTTTCTTTTATATTTTATGTTACTGTATTTTTAATTCTTTAATGATAGAAATTCATTTATAATTATTTTATTATAAAGGAATACTTACTATGTTCGAAAAAATATCCAATATTAAAACAGATTTAATACATATTGCTTCTACCTTTTCGTCAGTTTCTTATATTACTTTCACTGGCAAACTCTTTCAGTTTATATCGATTCGTGAAAACGAAAGTATCTACACGAAGTGTCACAGTTATAAAGATGGAGAATTTAATGGTAAGTGCATCATAATTTTATTGTAATTTCATAATATTTAATATATATATTTTAATGTATCATAATATATATAATCATTATTTCATCTTTAGCAATATATCTTAATTTGATATTTTATTTCAATTTTAAGTAGTTAAATTATTAAATAATTTCACTCATAAAGCAATTTTTTTATCGTTCGTGACATATTAAATACTTAAGATCTTTAAATAATAATAATAATAATAATTAATAAAAAAAATAAGAAAAATAATTCTTTTTTTCGTAAAATTATACTATTGCATGATGTGATCAGATGATTCCGTAATCAGTTTGGAATTTAACTTAAAGTCTCGTCATCTGATATCTATGTTTATTAATTCTTTGTTTCTGATATATAAATTTCACTTTTATTATTAAAAGTGATTGATCTCTAAATAGTCTCAAACAGCAATTACGTGATTATAAAATAGTATTAATTAATTTACATTCAATTAAATTATTTTAAAATAAATCAATAAATATAACTAATTAGATGATTACACTTTCGAATCAGATCGCATTTATTCTGATTAGCCCTTGCCTGGGGAACATATCACATCTTTTGTCAGAATCATCTACAACGACTACTCCACCATCGCCTCCTAAACCTTATAGCTTTCATTATCAAGCAGGACGATATCCTGGAAATATAGATCGTGTTCATCAAGAAAGTGGAGATGGTACTGGACATGTTCAAGGTAATTATTAAATGTCCAACATTGAATTTTAAAAAATTTTTTTCTAGTTAAAAAAAATTATTCCTTTAATGTATTTTTTAGGTTCTTATTCTTTTATCGATCCCAAACATAAAATACGAACAGTACAATATATAGCCGATGAAAATGGATTTCATGCATCTTTAATAAATTATGAAGATACAGTTATTCAACCTGTCGATTCTGAAACAGTAAGACTCGCGAAGGAAAAACATTTTCGATTGTATCAGAAGATAGCTGAAGCAAATGCTCATGGTGTTCCAATCAATCTTCCACAAGTAATGAATATATAACTTTTTTTTCTATAGATTAATTTAGAATTCAAATGATAATAAAAATAAAAATATTGGGTATTGCCAATATTTGAAATTTGAAATAATGATAATGAAAACTATTTTAGGTTAGAAACAACCATTTTCGATAATAAAATTTTTCAAAAAATCATTTATTTAAAATTTAAATTTTTATATTTATTTGTTAAAATATTCGCAAATTTTATGCATTTCTTTTAACAATTGTGAACAAATATAATTTGTATGATTTGATTCAAATAAGATTTATTTTCATTGCTAGATAAAAATAATTTAATGAAATGATAGTTTTCACCTGTTGATCTATTTTATAGGATTCTGCAAATGTGGAGAAAGCAAAGGATAAACATATTCAACTTTACCAAAAAATCGCCGAGGAACATGCGGCAATTGCAGCTCAAAGAGAAACTGAACGATTAGCCTATGAAGCTACTTCTGTAGTAAACGATGTAAATCTCGATCATGCGTACTAATTTGTGCATGACAAAACAATAGAAAAGAATTAGAAACACAATGATTATTACTGAGTATTATATAATACTGTTTTTATTATGATTTTCATGAAATTTAATATTTAAGAATTTAAATTTAAGATCAAATGTATATAAACTATATAATATACAGACTACTTAATTTGATTTACAAACATGAAGTATTTTAATAGTTACAGCAGTTTTTCTTGAAAATCCACCTTAACCATTTTATCCATTTTCTTTTATGCAAAAATTTATTTATTTTTTTTTTGAACTATTTTCTCAAAAAAATTATTTTTTTATCATTTTTCAAAACAATTAAAAGAATTTGGAATTAAATCTATGAAAAAAATAAAATATATTTATTACGTATAAATTTTCGCGCAATTTATTGTAATAACTTGAACATATCTATAAATTTTGTTTCGATATATGGAATAAAATCGGATAAATTTAGTGAAAAAAAATAATGTTATCATTATTTATTACTTAAGTAATTAAAAAATGGCAATAGGAATATAGAAATATAACAAATTTTTTTGTAAAAAAATAATTCTGGTAATATTGAATATATCGATCTATCGTTATTGCACCCGCCATAGTTTATTCGTAACATATTCACAGTGTTCGGTATCAATACCGATACGCATAATTGCTTTTCCTACAAGTGGAAAAATGTCGAGAAAACGTAAATTATCAAATATAAAAGAAAGATGCCGTATTTGCCTCGTTGATCATGCATGCATGACTAATTTATTTGATGAAGTTATACAATCAAGACTAACTGATTTAAGTAAATGTACTTCTATCAATGTATGTTTATATCACTTTTTTAACTTTAATTATATGCTTTTTTTATTCTATAATTGAACATTTTTTTTTTTTAGATTAAAGATGAACATGGCTTACCAAATGTTATATGTCATATATGCCTCTACAAATTGGATATGTGGGATGAATTTAAAGAACAATTTATACGATCAAATCAAATGTTATTAAGTCAATTAGAACTTATAGAAACTTCTGATAATGAGGTGAGATAATTATTGTAAAGAAAATAATTTCTATTCTATAAAAATAAATTCAATTAATTTAATTTTAAATTTTTAGTTCTATATAATTGAATATGTATATATATTTTATAATTCATACATAAAATAATATTTACATATATGTAATATTATTTATTATTATATAATATATACACAATAATATCTTATAGCTTTATTCATATATATATTTCATAATTTTGTTATAATTTTAATTATTTTTTAAATTGTTTTTTAGAATTCTAAATCCAAAAGATCATGTAATAATTTAGAACAAAGTGGAGATGATAGTCTTTCTGATTCTTTTGATAAGGTATAAATAATAATAATTTTAACATTATTTAATATTAATAATAATTTTAATATAATTTTTCAATTATTTTTCAATTTTTTAATTAATAACATAAAATTTCATAAAAACATTTATTTCAGAAAAAATCAAAAACAGATGTACCAGCATTAATTCCTTTACAATTTACAAATAATGAAAACATAACAAATCAAACAATGCTCAAAGATATGTATATATCTGAAGATGATGTTACATCTTCAAAGGATTCTTCACAAAAGGCACATGATGCTTCTAATGATGATAAATGTAAAAATAATGAAAAACAAGAAAATAAAGATAAAATTCAATTAAAACCAACATTAGTTCCAATGAAAGTTAAACCATTAACTGGAAGACGCAATATAACTGAACGAAGAAAAGCATCAACTAAAAGATGGGTTGCAAGGAAAAAAGCACTTCTTGCAGCAACAGGAGAAAGTGTTTCAGATACAGATTCTATGGCATCAGATGATACACAATTATCACCAGTGCAAAAAGCACGAGCAAAAACAAATATGGATAAAGAAATTGAGAAGCAAAAAAGATTGATTAGAGTATTAAAAAATTTGGAAACTAATATGACAGATAAATATACTACTAAAAGTGATAGAAATAATTTTATGAGTATAGACAGTGATTCTGATACGCATAGAACAAGATCTCTTAAAGATATTAATTCTGATGTTTCATTAACTGAAGGTAAAAATATGTCTATAAAAGAATGCACTGAAGTAAAAAAAGATAAATTTTCTGAAGATTTAAAAGAGAAAGAAAGTCTTCCTGTATTATTGCCAGAAAAAGTTATCGAAAAACAATCATCAGAAAAAAATGGAATAGAAATAATTGAAGATACATTTACACCATGTTCAGTAAAATCAGAATTACAAATTGGAGATGCTACATATATTGTTACTTCTACATTAATGCTTGCAGAACCCCATTATTTAAATAAAGCAAATTTAAATACTTTGTCAAAGGAATTTAAAAATGGGACTATTGAACAAAATTCTCAAGAAAAAAATACTGATATTATTGATGCTGTACAACTTCGTAGAATTAATCCAGTTCCAATAGATGCTAATAATAAAAAATGTATTGAGAGGTGTTTAAATATAGAAGTGGAAGGAACAGAAATAGAAGCATTAAAACGTGTACAAGTTGAATTAGCAGGTTTTGTAGAGAAAGAAATGAAACATAGATTATTTGGAACAAATAATGATAATGTAAAAAAGAATAAAGGAGGATGTAAAACTTCATATCAAACTTTAGATCAACAATTGAAAAATATTATAGAAAAAACTATAAAGAAAAATTTTGAATCATCTATGATGAGAAGTTGTGGTTCTGATTTTAATTTATATTCCCAACAGTCTGGAAAAGTTTCACCAGCATTTGTAAAAGAAGCTATGAATTCTAAAAAATATCAACCGAAAGTTCTATTAAAACGTTTAGACTTAGCAAAAGAAAGTATACAACGAAATATTAATAATATGCATGTTTTAGTTAAACGTACAGTTAAAAATAAACTCGGCGGACCATTTAGTATGGTTTCTCATAAAAGACAAAGTGTACTACCAATAAGATATAATGATTATAATACTTCAGCTTTAGATTCTGATTCATATTTATCAGATGAGACATCTGAAGCCTCTAAGCCAGATAATACACAAAAGTTACAAGAAGATAAAGAACAAATTAACATTATGAAACAAGTAAAAGAGTCAAAAGTTGCGGATTCTATTACTAAAAATGAACATAAGATAGAAATTCAAGAAAATGTTTTTAAAATAATTTCATCACATGGTGAGAAACATATTTGCGGCGTATGCGAACAATCGTTTGATAATCATAATGATGCCGTAACACATGTTCGTATGCATAAAACAGAAACTACTTCTATATCGCGACATAATAAACATAAAATGATGAGATGTAAGAGATGCCACGAAATAGTAGAAGCTAGATTTGTAAAAGCTCATGTATGTAAATCATCAAAACAACAAATTCACAAATGTTATGTATGTAATTCGACCTTCCGAACTGAAAAACTTTTGGTACGCCATTTAGAAAGCCATGATCAATCTGAATTTAATATAGAAAATATAACAAAAGGAGATACTCAGAAATTAAATGCGAATACATCACAAAATTCTAAAGAAACAGTACATTTAAAATCCGAAAAAAATCAACTTTCAAAAATAGAAAATAATCTAATAAAATCGGATAATTCTAGAATAGAAATAAGCAATGTTCAGTCAGAGAAAATTGGAATATCTAAAAATCGAGGAAATTTCGTGTCAGGAGTAGAGAAACCAAAAGAAACATATACTTGTTTTGTATGTGATAAAATATTTACAGATGAAGAAATATTGAAAGATCATTTACAAAAACATTGTGATGATATAAGCGAGGATGATCAAAGCCCTGGTAAAGAACAATATCAATGTGCAATTTGTGGAGATTCATTAGATTCTGAAGAAGCACTAGAAGCACATGTTGAGAAACATTTATTTGATGAAGAGGATGATAATCCTAATCTTATTAATATTGCTAATGAAAATGATAAGTCAAATGAAGAACCTTATCAATGTCTACAATGTGCAGAAACATTTAATTCAGAAATGTTATTAGAAATGCACATGCAAGCTCATGAAGAAGAAGCTGCAATAGCAGAATGGGAAAAACAAGGAATAAAAGCTTGTGAATATCAATGTATGATTTGTGATGAACTTTTTGACACAGAAGAAGATTTATCAGAACATTTAGATATACATAATGGAAATGCACATGTTTGTCAGTTATGTGATAAACCATTTCCTAGTCTTGAGGATTTGCAAAAACATGTTGCAACTCATTAATATAATTTAGCGTTGCCAGAAGAATTCCCTCACAAAAAAATATGCTATATATATTTTAGTACCCCTACTGCCACTCTTTAAATATGAGTGATTAATAATAACGTCGTTATCCTGCCATTATCATTCGTCTTTTTCCCATTATTTCCTTAATCTGGTAACGCTAATGTAATTATTATTTTTTAAATACATATAAATTTTGTAAGATCGTTTTGTATATTAATAAGCTACCCAAATATTTTCGTGTAATTTTGTGTGCAATGATTCTTGAGTTTATAATTTATAATAATAACTAAAACGATTTTTTATTATAATAAATATAAATATGTATGATAATATTCAGATATATTAAGAATTTAAAATCAGTCTTTAAATTATAATGTATAATTCGCTTCCATTTTATTATCTATAAAATATTTGTATTGCACTTGATTTTTAAACGACGTTTAATATTTTTAATAATAATATTATACTTGCAAATACAAAAATTTTAAATATTGAAAATTTATGAAAATAGTAAATAATATGATTATTTGTAAATTAAATATAGGAATTAAGATAATTATTTTAACATACAATATTCAGAATTATAAAAATTTCATTTATATATATATATGTTAAATATTTCATATATAAATATAAATGTATTAAAAATTTGTGTACATAATACTTAATAAAAATTGTTCGTAATACAAAGTGATTATTTATATATAAACAATATTTATAATATATATGACCATAAAGTCGCGTCTCCATTGCGTTAACATTTAATCGATAAAACCATTCAGTAATGCCAACAAGTGTTGACTTGTGCATCGACTTGAATTATATGACTTGAAAAATCGAACGATATTCTGATCAATTTACCGACTGATGTCGATAAATACCAAAATCGCGCCGAAATCAACATTGAGTAATTGAATTGTCAGATTTGTTATTAAATTATTAAATACGA